TGGATATTGTTCCAAACATAGAGAAAATGTTCACCTTCATGCGAGGAAGACAGAGACCAGAACCTCCTGACTGAGTCTCCATTCTAGATCAGCAAGACCACACTAAGCCCAGGTCCACCTTGGTTCAAGAAGGAAAACCACTAGGTAGGCACATATAGAGTCACAGGGCACCATACCAAGGGATAGTAACGGAAACAGTCATGGCTGGGCCTATTCATGACAGCCTTCCTGTCAGTCACCACAGGTCCAGGTCCTCAGACACAGCACCACAGAGCACTCAAGAGCAGTCCCACCTCTCATGTGGGGAATACTGGGCAGTCATTGAAAAGGGGCCTCTCAGCTAGCCCAGACTCCTCCTACTCCTCCAGCAGCCAAGGTTAACCATTCTCTCAGGATGCAGGCTGAAAAGATGTGTCCTGGATACCCATTTCATCCATATCCCAACACAGCAACTGCTGGTATGGACCCCTGATCGCACTCATCCCAGCTGTAACTCCTCCGTGGCCTCCTTACTGCTCATTCCCGGGATGGTCACAGCTGAGGAGTAAGCACTGACTTCAGGGGAAGGTCCCCAGAAACCACAGCAGCGACTGCCTGAGTGCTTCTTAAACAGAGCAGTCAGAGTGAACATCACTAGAGGCAGACAAACAGATGTCACAAGTCCTGTGATGAGGGACTGGGAAGACACACACACACACATACACACACCCCATTTCATGACAAAGACTGAGCTCACTTAATCACAATGAGTCCCATACATACTCCTGAGAGATGTTTAGTGACCACCTGTTCACTTCAGAGAAGTCCCCAGAGGTCAGGCCAGACAGAAGAAGCTAAGAAGGCCCAAGAAGTGGTGTGACTGAAATCTAGAGCTGGACTAAGAAAGAAAAATGCATATATAAAATCATTAGACCATTAATACAATTTTAGTACAAGTTATAAATGTGTATATACATATATGTGTGTGTGCAAATATACATATATATACATGTATATATATATATATATGCAAATACTATGTCTTAATTACTTCCCTATTGCTATTGCCTGATAAAACACCATGACCAAAGCAATTTATAGGAGTTTAATTTAGCTTATGGCTTCAGAGGGTTAGAGTCCATGATGGTGGAGTGAAGAAACAGCTGAGAGGTCATATCTTGATCACAATCACAAGGCAGAGAGGGCACTGGGAATCTTTTGAAACCTCAAAGCCCACCATCCAGTGACACATTCTTCCAACAAAGCTACATCTCCTAGCCCTTCCTAAACAGTTCTACCAAGGGAAGACCACTGAGAAAGACTGAAAGGTAAATAAACCACTGTGATGGTCTGAGTGAGAGTGGTTCCCATAGGCTCATGAATTTGAACAGGAGGAACCATTTGGAGAGGATTAGGACGTGTGGCCTCATTGGAAGTGTGTCCCTGGGGTTGGGCTTTGATGCTTCAAAAGCCTGAGCCATCCCCCATTAGTTCTCAGCTAGTGCTCCAACACCATGCCTGCCTGTCTGCTGCCATATTCTCCACCATGATATCAGGCCATGGACTTTATCCCTCTGCAACCATGAGAACCAAATTAAATGCTTTCTTTTATAGTTGCCTTGGCTATGGTGTTTTGTAACAGCAATAGAAAACTAAGGCGGCAGCAGCCACTGACTTAGAAAAAAAATAGTAAAAATATTCGTGCCTGATGTACTGCAAGCAGATTTCTCCCCCACCCCCTCTTTTTTCCCTCCGGTGCATATTAGACAAGTACTCTACCAATTAGTTATACTTCCAACCCACAATGTTTTTAAATCTTCAAACTCCAAAGCCATAATCTGGGAGAGATACTTGAAAAAAAAAAAATCATCTGGGGGCTGGAGAGATGGCTCAGAGGTTAAGAGCACTGGCTGCTCTTCCAGGGGACCTGAGTTCAATTCCCAGCAACCACATGGTGGCTCACAACCATCTACAATGGGATTTGGTGCCCTTTTCTGACGTGCTTCATGCCAGAACACTGTATACATAATAAAGAAAAAAAACATCTGATGAGAAGGTCCAATAAAAGGCTAATATCTGCCCCTACTGCCAATCTCAGCATGTGTAAGACCCTGGGTTTGATTCCCTTACACTGCCAGGGAAAAGAAAGATAGAACAGAAGTCATAATTAACAAAATGGACCTAGTTAAAAATGGGCAAATGGGAGATGGAGAGATGACTCAGTGGTTAAGAGCACAGGCGGCTCTTCCAGACAATCCAGGTTTAATTCCCAGCACCCACATGGCAGGTACCAACTGTCTGTGATTCTGTGGGCACCTGACGTGCTAGTGGCAATGCTCACAGATGTAAATGCTCACGAATAAAAAATAAAAATAAGTAAGTCTTTTAAAAACGGGAAAGAGCTGATGCATTTCTGAAGAGGATGTATAGGCACATAAAATGGTCTTTTAAGGACTGGAGAGTGGCTCAGCAATTAAAAGCATTTCCTGATTTTGCAAAGTACCCGAGTTTAGTTCACAGCACCCACATGGCAACTCATAAATATATTTGTGTTTTGTTTTTGAGACAAGGTTTCCCGTGCAGCCTTGGCTGTCCTAGATCTCACTCTATAGACCAGGCTGTCCTCAAACTCATAGAGATCCATCTGCCTCTGTCTCCTGAGTGCTGGGATTAAAGGCATAAACCATTGCCCTGCTTCACAACCATTTTTTTTTTTTTTTTTAAATCTGCAGTTCAGGGGATCTGGTGTCTTCTTGTGGAACTGCAAACACCTGGCAGGGATATGCTGCACATGCATACATGTAGTTAAAATGCTCATACACATTAAAATAGAAGCAAATCTTTTTAAAAGGTGTTCTGTATCATATGCCATTATGCAACTACAAATCAAATTAAAACAACAGGGAAGGTCAGTGAGGTGGCTCAGTCTGTAAAAGCACTTGCTGTACAAACCTGATTACTATTTCTGTAATCCATATAAAGGTGGAGAGAACTAATTCCACAAAGTTGTCTTCTGACCTCCACATGCACATAGTACATGTACCCCGACATAATCATATAGTCATATGATAATTTTTAATAAGGAAGTTAAGTGTGGTGGTACCTGTCTGTATCCCCACAGGAGAGGCAAGAGGATTACAAATTTGAAGCTATCTTGGGCTACACAGCGATAACTTCTCAAAACAAACAAAAATGCAACACTGAGGTACCACCACATACTTATCACAATGCCAAAGTCCAAAATGCTAGGCATACTACATGGAATGGGGATGTGGGTCAACAGGGACACTTATTGCTGGTAGAAATGCAAAATGATGCAGCTGCACTGGAAGACACTGTGGCAATTCCTCATAGAACTAAAAAACTATTTCCGTATGATTTAGCAATGGTTATTTACTCAAAAGAATTAAAAAAAAAAAAAAGTGTCCTCCTTCAGTAGGTGAATGGGCACACTGCAGTCTGCCCGATGTGGGATATCCATCAGCCCATCCTCCGTGGACTACTGCTTCAAAACACTGGGTGGACAGACCGCTCCTCTGCTCCCCATTCTTCCATCCTCTCCCATTGAGTTGCCGCCAGTGCTAGAACCTGTCCCTAGGGACTTCTTCTCAGTGGGGACATATGAGGTTAATCTTTCTGAGATAGTGGGTTTATATTCTGCAGCCTGTAACTGCCACAAGTGTCAGGAATAGGTGTCAAAAGGGCCGCTGATACATGCCCCTTGCCCAGGGGCAGAAACGGGTTCTTTGGTAATATGTTTGTGTGTGGGGGGGGGGGCAGAGTGACTATAGAGAATAGCGGTAAAGAGCAAATGTGAACTCTCTTGATCTGAGAGGCGGAAGGAAGGGTATGGCTATCTGAGGTGAGAGTGCAGAAAGGTAGCCTAAGCAATGTGTGGCTGATGATAGCCTTCCCAGAGACAAGGGACCACAGGGAACAGGTTCAGAGGAGGAAGTAAGGATTCTGTCTTGGACCCATTAAATGAGGTGCCTACAGATTTTCTGGAGGATTGTAGGTGGGCTGGAGACAGAAGGTCTATGAAGTGTGGGGATAGGCAGTGCTCATGGCCCCTCTATTGGCTCTATTGCAGTGGTGTGTGCTCATGGAAGAACACTGAATCAGAGCAAGTCTTCAGATGCTAAGCAGACATTTGTTTAGGTCCCACCTAGGAAATCACACATCCGTCAGCATCCACCCCAACTCTCATTAAGTGACATAACATGGTATCTGCCTCTCTGCTCTGTGGGATGTAGGAGAGGCACACCTGTGGTCTCTTAGGGACCACAGTACCAAAGAGGGTAGCAGTGCTAAAGAAAGATCTTGAAGCAGCTGAGCAAAGGAAGAATGTGGCTAGTTTGACAGCAAAGGCCTCTCCCTACCCTCTAGAGAAGTGCTTGGAACTCCACAACTTTGGGTCAAGATAAAGAAGAGTTAGTCTAGCTTTATCCTCACCCTGTTCTACGTTCCTTACAGCTCTACAGTGTCTGCCTTGAGTTACAGGTAGTGAATCTCTGTTGTTTCTGAGCCACCCAGTCTGCAAAGCCTGATAAACAGAAAGGCACACACAGAGATCCTAGCATCTACACTACATACACTTGCACACTGAACTGAACACAGACGCCAAACGGTACCTGGTGTAGTTGTTAAAAGTGTTTGAGCAGAGTGTAGTGGTGCACACCTTTAATCCCAGCAAAAGCAGGTGGAATCCCTGAGTTCCAGAACTGTCAGGGTTATGTAGAGACTCTGTCTCAAACAAACAAAGAAAACCAAAAAAGCCACCACCAACAAAATAACAAACAAACAAAAAACTGTTTGACCTCAGGACACTAGGAAGGCTCCTTGGCCCCTAACCCTAACCACAGCTGGACTCAGTGGGCAGATGTGTCTGAAGAACCTGAAACAAGCTAGCACTGTCATAATGGGCATGTTTTTACAAGTTAAATTTGTTTCTCCCATAGCTTTCATCACAAGAGACAAACACACAAATTATAAAAGTGGTTTTTTTTTTATTTTATTTTAAATCAAAGTACCAAGCAGATACTTACTTAACAACATACAAAGTAGAACTCAAAGAACTCAAACTTGCCCTTCCTTGCACGCCTCCTGGGCAGGCATGGAAAGGAGCTTGCGCCTTCTGCAAAATCAAATCCTTTCCTATTTCCTCAGAAAACCAAACTGAAAGCAGCCACAAGCACCCATGTTTGCATGTGGAGGGGAAGACCTTCTTCCTTCCTGGATCCTGAATGGCCCAATGGGCAGGGAACACAACAATAGGAGTCAGTAGGAGCCACAAGAGGCAGGTACAAACCAGTGGTGGGGCAAATGATCACACTTCCTCCCCCAGAACTGTAGGTTCTATGCAGATGGGACTACCAGGCCTTCTGTGTCCTGCAGAACCCTCACTAGCCTGCCAGGAACAGCCTTGGAGGGTGGGCTATGGACAGCCTCTGGGGACACTGGGAATGAGTGGTATGAGCTAATTCTGAAGCTGATTTGGGGATTATTTTTGTATGGCTCTGAAATGAACTTCACCTTCCAGTACTTCCATGCTCTAAGGGGCAAGGGCTAAAAGGTTTTGACCTTGCTCTTATGAAGAAAGGAAACTGGCCCACATCCCAAAAAGCAGATGGCACCTGGGACTTGTGCCAAGAAAAGGATCTTGGTTCCCAGGGCAGGAAAATTTTTATTTGTGACACTAATCTAGTCTGAGCTCATACAGCAGGGACTTCCGGGAGGTACCCACCCTGCTGGTCCTCCCAATGCCCGTCACACAGCTGCACATAACAGGACTTGTAACTCAAGGGAAAAAAGAGTTCTTAAAAAGGAGTATATACATAAACAGGGAAACATCTGCCAAAACCAGTTGATTCATAACCACAGTGAACAATGATGTAACAGAAGGAAAACAAGAGCTAGAACCTCAGTAGCTTGACATGGGGTGAGAGCAGGGGCAGACAAGGCCCCGGTCACAGCAATGGGGCCCTTGAAAACAAAGCCTTCAGTTGACAAAACAGGAGGTTTAAGAGGCACCTTAGGACTATCCCAGGACATACCTTACCAAGAGGCCAAAACTCTGTTCCCTGAATTGTTTGACTCCAAGGACTCTGGCCTAGAGAACAGCCCCTTGCATGGGCCCAACCAGACCTGTAAAAACTGCCTGCAGACAGCCTTCCATGGAATATTTTGGATCCTATCTCCCAGCTGACTGACCCACCAACTCTAAACAGTCTTCTCACATATCCTGGGGATCTCGGGATAGAGTATTGACCAGAGAGGCCCTGTTCTATCTCCAGGGAAAATTTAGGGGGCTAGTATAGGGGGCTAAAAGAGCAGGATGCACATAGGAGTTGAGCTACCCCAAGTCACAGGCATACCTCCATACAAATCCTCTAGAACTTAGTCTCAGGAAAAGATACTACCTAAGATCTCTAGCACCTGGCTAGGTGTATGTATAGGTGCTCTGGGTCCCTCCTAGAACCAACTCAGGAGCCTAGGCACTCAGCATTGTTTTGGTTGAAAACACTATAAATTTAATTTTTCCTAGAAGCCTACTAAGCAATTAACACCTGCAGCCCATATGCAGAGGGGTCTAGAACACATCAGGTCCATGAGACCCCTTCACCACCTGAGTGCCTGTGTGGTTGGGAGGGGTCCTGACTGGGGTCTGCATTCAGCCCCAGGCATGTTCCCACAGTGAAGGAACATGGACACTGGCCATACTGAACCTACAGAGAACTGTGGGAAAAGACCAAATCCATAGGATCTATGGCGTCCACACTCAGGCATGCTGCCCAAGACATGTGTCAATAATGTCCCAGAAAGCTCAGCCCCATTGGGGTGCAGGCACTAGGCCGTGTGATCAGCTGGGCTCTGGTGCTGGATCTACAGCTGTACCAGAAGCACCCAGGCCTCCTCCTGGTCACTGACCCCCCTGGTTCCTGCTCAAGGCCCAATGTGTAAACAGGATTAATAAGCAACAGATGGAAAAGAGTATTTCCCACGAAAAAAGGGGAGGAAGTTTAGAAGTTGAAGACTGATGTTCCAGGTTGCTGGCATCATTCTGCCCCTTTTTTCTTCTCTTGATTCATCCGGCAATCCTCTTTGGTTCAGCCCATCAGACCTGCCTGTGCTGAGCCAGCTCTGCGGCCTGTGTCCGTAGTGGCCTCTGCCTGCAGTGGCCTGAGGAGAGGCAGCCAGCCCAATTTGGAAGGATCTTACCCTCCCAGCCAGCTACTTCTGCTCATGGTCATCTGCTACAGCAGCCACCTCAATGGTGGCTGTGTGTTCCTCAGGTCCAGAAGCAGCTGCTGTGGGTACTGTCATGATGGTGCTGCCTGCAGGTGATGCCTGGGCCACATTCTGCAGGGTGGGTCCCAGACCAGGCAGAGTGAGCAGCTGCAGTGGGCTGACCACCTTTAGTACTGTACTGCCATCCTGCATGGCAGCTGTGCTCAGAACTGTGAGGCTGGATGTGTCCGGATGGATCTCTACCGTGCTGGGGAAGGTAGAGCCAGAGGAGGCCAGGACTGTGTAGCCCCCAAGCAGTGGGGAGGCCGGTGAACTGGCTGGGGCAGCTTGAGGAGAACCCTTTCCCAGGACAGTGGAAGGCAGTGTAGATACCACTTTACTAAGTGGCATACTGGTCAGCTGGGACACAGGCATTCCTGGGCCAAGGGCGATCTGTGCAGACTGTGTGAGCACCTGGGAAGCCATAGCAGCTGGTCCAGATGTAGCTCGTGCAAGACGGGGCCGCTTCATAGGGGATGGCAGGGAGACTGGTGTCAACGTCATGAGCACATTGCTGAGGTGCTGGGACTTGTGCTTCAGCTCCTTGGCACGGCGACGATGTTCATCACACTGTTGTTCCAGGGCTGCAGGGGACACACAGCATCACCACAGAGAATAGATAGGGACAGACTGTGTTTCCACAGGGACGATGCAGACATGTACATTCAGTGAGCAGATCATAAACCAACAGCAACCCAGGTGACTAGAGGACTGCTTACCAGAGGAAAAGCTGGTAGTAATGGGTCCCTTAATGGCCAAGGATGACCTAAGACCAAAGTTCCAAAGGGGAAGTTCTATAGGTCAAACCTTCCCCTCAGCATCAAAGTGTTCCATTCAGTTTCACATCAAAGTTGTTGTTAGGCCAAAGCAACCAAGTAAATAGGCCTATTTGCACACATGCGCACGTGTGTGCGCACGCGCACACACACACACACACACACACACACACGCACACACACACACACACACAGAGTCACATACAGGGCACACATTTAAGTAAAAACATCAGTGAAAACATATTACTAATTTACAAATACCATAGGACAATCCAGCTCTGGCTGGAACAGGTGGTTTTTTCCATTCCCCTGTCATATTCCTTTAAATTAAGTAACTTGGTTCATCACAGAAAGGTCAGTAAAGAGTGACCTATGCTTTCCATAATGGCAAGGTCTGGCCATAGCCACTGGGGTTTTACTGGCTTTTCCATGTACGATGCCTGTGTTCTGCTTACTTCAAATGAAAAGTTCATCTATGTGGCTGCCTCTGAAGTGTGTGGACACATGACTAGAGAAGTGAGCCTATAGCTCCCCAAACACATGGCTGCTGGGCATACCTGCCAGGTCCCGGGCATACTGTTCTCGAGAGCGGTCCATTTGGCACTTATGGCTGGCCAGCACCTTCTTCACCAGATCCAGCATGCCAAAGTTTTGCACGATGTTGTTGAGGAGGACAGCATCTTAAAGAGACAATGCCAACACTGAGTAAAAATCTGGGCCCCACCCAGAGTTCCTGAACTTCAGTGCTGACCTGTCTCCTGAGGAACCAACCATACAAGTTTAGGATGCATACCGAAAGACAGCTCCCCTCAGCACAGTAGGGTCCTGTGTTCAGGTACAACTTCCATCCCAGCTACATGGCAAGACCTGGGGGTAGCAGGAGGGAGAATCAAACCACCTTACCTCGGAGCTGCAGGGGTGGGTCCTGTACTCGCTGCTGCAGACCTTTCATGGTTTCCTCCAGCTCCTGTTGGAATTCCTGTATGACCTCATCCAGTAAGCCCGCATCCTTTAGTCCCCGCCAGAATGCAAATGTGTCATCTATGATGGAAAAAGAGAGTCAGGTAGGTAAATCAATGTATGGACTAACTGGCAACAGGAAGTAGTAAAGTAGCCAGCTTATGAAATACTGAGCTCCATATCACTGCCTATAAGTCTAGTGGGTCAGTGGTAGGATCCTGAGCCCAGTCAGGATCAGATTATAGATAGGTCCTGTCATGAGCCCACCTATATTCCTGAGAAGCCGACAGAACATACCTCCAATGGCTGTGGTCCAGTCACCAGGGTCCTCACAGGTTTCTATGGTGATGGTAGCAGGTGAGCCATTCACTGCAGGTAAGGCAGAGCTATGGGTGAGTATTGCTCTATATTACAGCATCTAGAACTTTAAGTCCTGATGATCCTTCCAAGGCTATATTTGAATCCTTTTCCACACCACACTAACACTAGTCAAAGTACTTCTCTGCTTCATAGTGAGCTTATTTTAATCACAGATGTCTTTAAACACACAAAGAAAGAACAGAAAACAGCTTCTGAGCAATTGTCCAACTTCAACCACTCCCAAGATTTTACTCCTCTGGTTGTGTGTGCAAGCCCCTGTGACTAAGCCTTGGGAAACTGGCAGGGAACTCTCTGCATACCTTGTTTCCCTCTCCTTGCCCTATAGGTCACCTTTACCTCTTGTCTAAGTTTTACTGCTATCATAGTAATTCTAGAGCTCATCATAGTTCCCATTTTTTAATATTAAAAAAGACAAACCAGGGGCTGGAGAGATGGCTAAGTGATGGGAGATGCCATTATGTATATTTGTTTCTCATACTGGTTAATAATAAAGCACTGTTAGCCAATAGGAGAGGAAGATAGGAGGGACTAGGAGACAAGGAGGAAAGAGGAAGGGGTAAGGAGGAGTCAAGATGGAGAGTCTGGAGAGAACAGAACCGCCAGCCATCTCTCACTGGTAAGACCACGTGGAAATACATAGAAATGGGTTAATAATTAAGACAGAGCTAGCCGATAAGAAACTAGTAACTGGCCAACAGAATTATATCATATACAGGGGCTGGCGCAGCGGGGGGACCAGACCAGGCAGCAGGCAGAAAAACCTTACTCCTTACAGCTAAGAGGTTAAGAGCACTGGCTGCTCTTCCAGAGGCCCTGAGTTCAGTTCTCAGCAACCACATGGTGACTCATAACATTCTGTAGTGAGATCTGGTGCCCTCTTCTGACATGCAGGCAGAACATTGTATGCATAATAAATAAATAAAATCTTTAAATAAAATTAAAAAAAAAAGACAAAACATCCATTCTAGTATATCCCCAAATTCATTTCTGGCATCTACAAACCAAACTGTCCATATAGTTTGCACTTGGAAGTCTTAGAGTATCTGACCATGGCTTTATGCACACACCTAGCTCAGAGACAGACTCAGAAGCAGGCATGCATTTCAGAATATATGGAACTGTTGAGGAGGATGGCATCTTAAAGGGACAAAACCAAAACTTAGTAAAAATCTGGGTCCCTCCCAGAGTTCCTTGACTCCAGTGCTGGGCTGGCTACTTAGGACCAGCCAGTGGGAGGAGCTGGCTCCACAGAATTAAGGATGCATACCAGAAGACTCCCCTCAGCACAGTAGGGTCATCAATGTTGTAGCATTTGTGAGTCCTGTATGCCTGGAATCAACTGAACAGAAAGACCTCTACCTAGCTGTACAATGTTCAAGCCAAACACTCATGAATTCTAAGTTAAAGGAACCAAATCACCAGAAGAGCTAAATCCAAACCCTAGCTCTGTTAAGAGATGGCACTAGTGGTTCCTATTTATCCTGGCCTGTCACCTACAACCAATGATCCTTTTGTTCTTTTCAGGAACTGCTATTCATTGGCTATTTAATGTAAAAGCTATTTTATACTTTTTTTTTTTTTAAATATGAAACCTACAAAATAATCCCATGAAATTGGCATTCTGGCTAGTTGCCATCTCACTAAGGTTTGCAGGAATAAGTTAATAATAGGTGTTCTTTTTCCTATTATGAAGGGACTACACACTGATAAACACATCATCAGTTGAAAATGCTACAAACTCCATAGTTTACCAGCTCATGGGCTGTGACTGACTTTAATAAGGCAAGCCAAGACAGCCACCAAGACATGGACCACTCACTCCCCACACCGCATCTCGTCCTGGTGTGTCCCCAGAAGAGCTCTGTCCTGACCTCCTAGTATACCTGGTACTTTGGGTCCAGAAAGGACCTCAGATCTCAGACCATGGTAAATGGTAAACATGGACTGAGGGAAGAGCTCATGGAGGTCAGTCCCTATGGCCTTGGGCTTCTAGGAGAATGCAGTCCTGTCAGAAGAGCTGAACCCTAACCCTGACTCTGCCTAATCTTTACCAACCAGTCTGCAAAGAAGCACTCTGAAAAGAAAACAGCAGAACTCACAGGGCCTCACTCTCCTCCCCCATCCCCAGATTATGCTCTTCAATTGGCCTGGTTAAACAGCAAGGACATATATCCTTGTTCCCATGGAAGTACATGCCATCTTAACACTGTAGAATGATATAGCGCAGGGGCAGTAAGTAACACCAACAGAAAGCTAACACAGCCCAATCTCACCAGGTAATACAACAAAGGAGCTAAGGACCCAACTTCATTCTCACCTCAGTTTACAAAATACCTCACCCAGAACTGCCAGGCAGTGGTGGCACACACCTTTAATAATCCCATCACTTGGGAGGCAGAGGTAGGTGGATCTGTGAGTTTGAGAACAGCCTGATCTACAAAGCTAATTCCAGGACAGCCAGAGCTACACAAAGAAACCCTGCCTTGAAAAAAAACCAAATGACTGAATAAATTAATTAATAAATAGAAAGAGAGAGAAGGGAGGGAGGGAAGAAGGAGTCAATCTTTCTACAGCTCTGAAGAATGGGTATCAACAGAGAATATCCTAAATTGTCACCCAAAATCCAAAGAGCAGGAAAGACCTGAGTCCAGATACCAGTAAAAGGTCTGGAAAGTCACTAAGCATCAAAAAGTGTATTTCCACTTCAGGCCTTTAGTGACCAAGAGCAGGCCTAGGGACACAGGTCATTCTTAACCATTCTTTATGCCCACTCCATATGTGAGTTACTATATTAAAATGAAAATAACTGAAGATGCTTTTTCCCATTAGCAGCGGGCCAGTGATGGTGCATGCCTTTATTAATCCTAGAACTCTATGAGTTTAAGGCTGATCTGGTTTACAGAGCCAGTTCCGGAACAGGCAAGGCAACACAGAGAATCCCTCTCTTGAAAAACAAACCGATTCCCCATCAGCAAACCCAGCAAGTCCCCAGATGTGCTTCCAGAAAGGACACAAGGAAGAGGGCTAACTCAGCATTGCAGGGCCCCTGTGGAAGGAGTGTTCTTGGAGAACAGAGAAGGTATATGGTACCCAGAGAGGGCTGGTCAGGATAACTACAATAACCCGCAAGACGGGCAGCCTCTTGTACCTACCATCAGCTGCAGCTGGTGTGAGCGGGATGTACTCGGTGGATGTGGGGCTGCTCAGGGACACACGGGCCCCTGAGAGGTCAATTTTTGTGCTGCGACAGGTATTAGAGCAGACCTTGTCATGTTGGTAGAAGTCTAGCTCCCCAGAGTCCATGATCTTCCTGTGGAAAAGCCAGAGCAGTCCAGGTGAGACCTAACTGAAAATACCTCATCTACCATTGTGACCCCGACTGTCCAACTGAGGGGGTACGTTCTAGCATAGGTAACAACTGGGGCTGGGCTCCTCCTCTGAAGTAGGATGTTGTTGACCAGATTAAGATACATGGGACAAGGATAAAATATGGCTTATATATTTTATTCTGCGAGAAGTCACTTGCACGAGAAACCAATGACCCGCAAGTTCCCGCTCCAAGGGTCCATAACCCAGGCTGCTCTCCGTGACCCAACCAGAACCAAGAGAGCAAGCTGGGGTCCGGGACCCCAGACCCAGCCTCCCACCAGTCACCAGTCATGTCTACACCTGTGCCCACACCTCACCATTGAGGTCAGTGCAACAGGTGTGGGTGGAGTGGATATCTCATTACAGTAGGAGAAGGGCTACAACTTTCACTATGCACAAAGCTCAAATACAAGTACAGGACAAGTGCACAGCCACCCAAGGTCACCTACACAGCATCCTGTCCACAGGAAGGAAATGAAAGCACTGGCTGGCAAGTATCCATACTGTGACTGTGGACCTAGGGGGCAACCTACAGCTAACAAAGGTGGTGAGTGGCCTAGTCCTGAGGCAGAGTTAAGAATCATTTCCAGGACAGGAAAGGAGTTCCTGAAATCTTAAAACAATTTCTAAGTTTACAGTCACTTATTTTCACCTACTAGAGTCTCAGCCAGCCTCTCATGGCCCATAACATAAAGTCAGAGGTTCTAGCTTCACTCAGCCTATGGGCAGTGGTGACATCTCTCTCAGCCTATGGTCTCAATAGCTATCACACCAGACAACAGAGGGTTTCTCAGAGGTATAGACTGGGAGCTACAAGAAAGCATCTAGAACTGACTGCTCTGACACAAAACAGTGTATCTTAGGGAATGCTTAGGAAGTGAAGTTGCTGGTTGCTGGAACATCCCTACGAGAGCCTGCTCATCTCCAGATACACAGAAATGAACATGGCTCTTAGGTCATACAGGATTTGAACTTGGCATGTCCTAAGAACCTGCGAACTTCACAAGGGCCTTTCATAAAAAGTAATAGAAAAGACAGAAGGGTACCATAGAATGCTGTTAAAAAATTAAACCTAAATGTCTATCTATGTACAAATACTAGATTATATCCTTAATTTTTAATAATGATACATTCAAAGTACCCACCCACACTACCACCACCAAGTAAAGAATCAGTGGAAATTAAAATAAAACTTAACCAAAATAACTCATCTTCAAAGACCCAAAATCAAATGAAAAAGCAATGGCTGTGAACTCCTTCCCTCCCATCATCTCAAGCTGGTCAGAGGCCCACCTGAGCATGATACCATTCATCCGGATGGCTCTCTTCCAATCCTTCAAGGTTGATTTCCCTGCCAGGTGCACAAACTCCTTCGGGCTGATCACATGTTCATCGTACTAGAAACAAACACAGAAGTACAGGACCTTCTCAGCCTAACTCGGCCTCCTGAGACCGAAACACAGCCTTCTTGACCTGACCCACCTGCACCAGGGGTTCACAGGATGGAGAGCCACAGCATGGATTTACCAGTAACAGGCCTTGGTACAGAACTCTTTGATACAGTGTTCCACTGCAATATGCCTCTAGAATGTTGAGATTAAAGGAGTGTGCCACCACTGCCCAGCTGGTTTTGTTTTGTTTTAAAGCACCCACTCACTCTTTATTGCTTTTATGTCAAAGCTGTCCCTCCACATGCCTGATCTTCTCTCTAACCCTGGGGCATTTACTTCAAGTAAACATGCCAAACAATGCAAAAAGTGATGGGTCAGAGAACAACAACCCTTGAGGGTTTAGCAACAATTTTGCCAAATGCCACAGAGTTTCCACAATGAAAAGGGAGGTGGTCCTTAATTATATATTTTCCTTTCAGGGCCTGATGAATTTTGGTACATATGTCTATTGCTGATCTTTTTTTTTTAAAAAAAAAAATTTATTTATTTTACATCCCAGCAGCAATTTCCCCTCCCTCCTCTCCTCCAAGCCCCTGCCCTCCACCCCAATCTGTTCCCATTCCACAGTATACTCTTCCTCCATTTCTGATTAGGAGAGGGCAGGTCTCCCACGAATATCAACAAACATGGCATATCCAGTTGCAGTAAGACTAAGCTCCTCTCCGTGATTTTGATTTTTTTAAAGGCAGGGTTTCTTTGTGTAGCTCTGGCTGGTCAAGAACTTGCTATGTAGGCCAAGCTGACCAGGTACTCATAGAGATCCACCTGTTTCTGTCTCCATGTGCTAGGATTAAAGGCATGTACCATGACGCCTGGCCCTTCGGGTTAGGTATTCTATTATAATTCTGTCTCCTAATTTGTGTTTTAAGTTTTTCTAAAGAGTAAAGTCAGGCTGTGAGTTTTGAGCAGGAATGCCTTGGGTTTCCCACCCATGGGTTTTATCAGTTCAATGATTGTCTACCCCAGGAATTCTAATCCATTTTGACATTTGCTTATCCTAATGCCAAAGACACAGAGTCAGCCCTTTCGACAGGGAAGCTTCTTAAAGCTTCTTCACTGTAGCTCCGTCACTCTGTGTTAGTGTGTAGTCTAGGAGGGAGACTCTGCCTGCTTGTTACTCCATCGCAGCTAGTTTATACCCACTGAGCATTCCTAGCTCACTACTGCTTCCATGCTCTCATGAAAACGTCACTTTTCTCTAAGCACATACCTAACAGAAGTGAATGTACTTAATATAAGAAAAACATTGTAATAAACTTTATTTCCCAGTCATTAAGCCATCGCTGAGGACTCTGCAGCCTTCTCAAGCCCCTCTCTTCCTAACACTCAATCCCAACTTCTGCCTGTCTTTTCTTTTAGTACCTTCCACAGACTGACTATTCTACAGAGAAGAAATTGTGTTGCATGTACACCATCCATATCCTACACTCACTGTTGATACAAATAAAGATCATGACTAGCTTCCTAATAGCACCGAGTTATATTTGTAGAAAAATAATCTTCAGAACTCTTATTACTGACCAAGGGATCACTGATGAATAGAATCAAAAGAAACTAGTGTGTGTGTGTGTGTGTGTGTGTGTGTGTGTGTGTGTGTGTATGTTTATATACATGTATGTATGGAGGCCATATGTGGTTTGAATGAGAATATCTACCATAGGCTCATATATTTGAATATTTAGTCACCAATTGATGGAACTGTTTGGGAAGGATTAGGAGTTCTAGCCTTGTTGGAGAAGGCGTGTCATTGAGGGTGGGCTTTGATGTTTCAAAACTTCACATCATTCCACTTCATTCCACTTCTCTCTCTCTCTCTCTCTCTCTCTCTCTCTCTCTCTCTCTCTCTCTCTCTCTCCTGTTCCAGTGCTATGCCTTCCTACCTTCTGCCATACTCCCCATCATGATGATTATGGACTAACCCTCTAGAACCATAAACCTTAATAAATTCTTTTATAAATTGCTGTGGACATGGTGTCTCTCCACAGCAATAAAAAAGTAACAAAGTTCAATTCCAGCACTCGGGACACAGAAACAGGTGGGTCTCTGTGAGTTAGAGATCAGCCTGGTCTACAAGAGTGAGTTCCAGGACAACCTCCAAAGCCACAGAGAGACCCTGTTTTGAAATTACCCCCCCCCAAAAAAAATAACTAAGACATTCACCAAACTTGGACCTCACCAATTTGGAAGACTAGCTTGCCAGCAAGTCCCACTGCATCTGTCTCCATAGTGTTGGGAAGACATATGCTTTTGTTTTCGGTTTTGTTTTGCTTTTTTGAGACTGGTTCTCTGTGTAGCCCTGGCTGCCTTGAAACTCACATAGTAGGTAAGGCTGGCTTTGAACTCACAGAGATCCGCCTGTCTTTGCCTCCTGAGTGCTGGGATTAAAGGCATGTGCCGCCACCACCCATCTAAATGGGTTATTTTGTGGGGGAGGAGGGATTTTTAAAATAATTTAATTACAACATTTCTCCATTCTCTTTCCTCCCTCTAAATCCTTCCATATAACTTTCCTTACTCTCCTTCAAATTCATGGCCTCTTTTTCCACTAGTTGTTATTGCATGCATATATGTATATACATATTACTCCTAAACATAACATATTTAGTCCACATAATGTTAGTGGTATGTATGTTTTCAGGGCTGACTAACACGGGACAAGCAATTGGTGTGATCTTCCTGCCTCTCCCACTCCCAGCTTCCCTCTGTCACCTACAGTTCTTTGAAGAGGGTTGAGGCTTCGTGGATTTTCTCCATCCAGTTTGGCACACTCATCGGTGTCATCCCTGATCACCCAATATTTGAACAGTCATGTTGATGAGACTTTATGGATATAGTTGCTGATATTACTAGGAGACACAATCTCATAGCAAACTCACTGAGGGTGCTAGGGATTTTAACTCAGATCCTCCTGCATGCATAGCAAGCCCTTTACTAACTGAGTCATCTTCCTAGCACAAAAGATGTTTTCATTTGTTTTTTGTTTTGTTTTTTTAGATGGTACTGGAAACTAAAATCTAGGGGTTTTTTTGGCTGTTAGACAAGAGGTGTGTGTGTGTGTGTGTGTGTGTGTGTGTATCTGTGTCTGTGCAAGCACTGAGTCATATCTCCAGCCCAGTAGTAAAGGAATTTAAGAAGAAATATGACTGCAATAACACTAGAGTTGAGCATCCAGAATACAAATAAAGTAACTCAGCTTCAGGGTAGCCAGTATAAAGATACTTGCCAGCTCTTTGGCAGAGACTGAACTTGCTAAAGATGATCAGCTGAAGGCTTGTTAGTTTTAGATCAGTGGTTCTCAACCTGTGGGTCACAACCCCTTTGGAAGTCAACCAACCCTTTCACAGAGGTTGCATTATCAGACATCCTGTATATCAGATATTTACAATGTGATTCATAACAGTAACAAAATTACAGTCATGATGTAGAATGAAAATAATTTTATGGTTAGGGTCACCACAACATAAAGAACTATATTAAAGGATCATAGCATTAGGGAGGTTGAGAACCACTGTTTTAGATACTTGTAGTTAATGAAAGCTTAATAAAGATTTCCTTGTAAGGCATAGAATTTCCCTTCTGTCCCTTGACACAAATTTAAAAGCATCACATTTTACATCATAATCACATGGAGGGAGTCTGCTTTCTAACTTAGTGGAACACATTTATGCAGTGAACTGAAAAGAGGAGGGGGACCTTATCTTACTCATGTACTGCTAATTATTCCTCTTTTGTCATGCTAGGACTAAACTCAAAGCCTTGTACATTCTGAACAGCCACTGAATTCCAGCCTGCTGTTATTTAACATCAAATTATTACAGATGGGAGCCTTTCTGTTCATCTGGGAATACTTGGGTCTTTCAAATGGTGGACTGCAGTCTTCCCTCCTCATGAAGCCTTCAGCTCCTTCCTGGCAGACAGGCATGCTATATTCTTCTTCTGCTTCTATCTGCCACTCTCTTATGTCTATGAACTGAGTTTTGGATGAAGTTTTTGGCTCTGTCCTCCAGTTCACTAATCATCTCATCAGCTATGTCTAATCTCGTCAAATCTGCTCATGTTTTACACATGTTCAGGCTTATCTGTTATTTCTTGAGATAAATTTAATTATTTGGAATTAGGGGATGGTCAGCTGGTAAAGTGCTTCCTGCACAAACAAAGATAATCATTTATAACTCCAGCTGAAGGAGATTTGATGCCCTCTGGCATCCTCAGTCACCAGGCATGCATGTAGTGCACATACATACATGTAAGCAAAACATTCACACATATAAAATAGAACAAATAAATTAAAAAAAAATTCATACCAGGTTTATAAACATACTTTCGTGGTAATTTTGGCAGTTTTAAAACAAGATGAATTTAGGTACCAACCTACTATGTAGCCAGGAAGAGAATATGTTTCCCACTCAACATCCCTTAGTTACTAAATAAGTCTCTTCAGCGCATACCTCAGTCTGTCAAACAAAGCCATTCACAACTCAGATGCCATAGCTTGCACCATACCTAACAGAAGTAAGTGTATGTAACATAAATAAGAAAAATGACATGAAATGAACTGCCAGAAACTTATCATCCTTCAATTAGGTGTGACTTCTCACTAACCTGCCTCTGTTGTTTCACCTCAGCTTTTCCTCACTGCACTCATCGGCCCCAGAGGTTATCTGCTGTGCCTCCTCTGTCCCCAGGCCCATGAGATTCGGCCTCCAGAGCAGTGTCCTGCACAGACCACTGCCACCCCCAACCCCCAAGCAGGAGGAAGTGCAGGTAAAGGTGTGCGCCTCACCTGACCCTCACCTGAACACATTTCACATTGATGCCAGGGCACACAAACTTCCTCCAAATGAGGTTAGCTCTGCTGTCTCCGCAAGTGATGGGGTACACAATTTCAGCTTCTAAGTTCTCCCCCTCTTCAGCCATCTTCACTTCTCACAGACACATGGACAAGAAAAAGCAGAAATGGAAAATCAGTTAGAAACTTTCCAAAGCATTTCCTGCAAATGTGGAAAGCAGCTACCAACCTGAAACCAAAGTGAGATCCAAAACAGGGCCCCAGAAGCAGGGGTTTCCATCAATCCCATGGAGAGTTTCAGATGAATCCACAAAAAGACTTAACTATTATAAGTAACTATTAACCACAATATTAATATAAGCTCATTAAATGGCCAATTAAAGACAAAAATCAAGCCACAGTTGAACCACTGCTAGGGAAACAAGTCTTAGGTATCCCAACTCTTTATTCTGACATAAGGCCCCATAGATAATAAAAGAACACCTACAGTCATTCACTGGTAGACAAAGGAAACCAGGGGAAGACAATGGCAAGACAAAATACAAAAGAGGGGAAAAGTGCAAAATTCGGGGTGTCTCTTCTTTCTATTTTCTACCAGGGGCTGGTAGACATAGTTCTCATTTACTATATAATGTGCTGCTCCTTCTTAAGAAAACCTGGGACCCGGTCTCTTACATGTTGGTAAACAGCCCAAACAAGGGCCTAGTTAGCCCCACTGTGGGCCAACAGTCAATTGTGGACTGTCCCGTCCTCACAAACAACAGAGTAGGCAGAGCGCAGGCTTCCCACCTAATACAGTTTCCCAGCCAATACGGTTTCCTACCTAACACGGCTTCCTTGAGCTGTGAGGAGGCTGTGAAGGCTGCAGCAGCTGCAGCTGCTGCATTTTCTGTTTCCATGTTATCTTCTGTCAAGTCACCCCTGGTAGACAGAGAAAAAGAGCGTCAGAATCACAAGCGCACACTTTGCACCCCCAGCACACCTAGAGTGTGGAAGGCTGAATCTCATTGCTGTCACACCAATTACACTTTCCTATCTGTATTCAGAAACTGTGCTGGCTGTGCAGAGAAGAATGTGCAGATAAGTGCCTATGCTGCCCTCGGGAGAACATGCAGCTTGCATTCTCGTCTTACACCAGTGCCTAGAATGGCATGGACAAGCAAAGCCAATGTGAGGAATTTATATAAGCAACAAATGTTCATGTAGGAACTCAAAACCATTATTTCTTTAGTTAATAAAGTTTTCTATTTCCAGTATAATAATTTCATACTGTTATACAAAATTGCTAAAAATATACATTTTATACAGTTTTAGAGATAAAAACTCAGGGCCCCAAGCATGCTAGGCAAATGTTGTACTGAGCCATATGTTCAGAAAATACAAAATTTTGAAAGAGGAAAAAAATTTCACCTTGACCAACCCTTAACTCATACCAAAATAAACTATGAGCAAACCAAAAGCAAAGGCAAAAAGGTGAAACCCTATAGTATTGAATTTTTTTAAAGAAGAGAATTAGTAGTAGTGGTTATAAGATAGTAAAGGTTTTTCTTATATGCAAAATCCAGAACCACAAAAAAAAAAAAAGGATATCTTTGGCTTAAATAAAAAAAACTTGGGGATGGGATGCATCTGAGCCTACCTGGCGTGCACAAAGACCTAGATTTGGTTTTCCAGTAACACATAAAAGCGGGCATGGTGGTACATGGATATATTACCAGAAGGCAAAATAATCAGAAGTTCAAGGCCATCCTTAGAAATACAGTAAGCTTCAGCCCAGCCTGGGCTACAAGAGATCCCATTTCAAAATGGAATCCAGGGCCCAGTGACATAGCTCAGCAGGTAAAAGCACTTATTGCCAAACCTGACAACCTCAGTTCGATCCTCAGAACTTAGTCCTCTGACTTCCATATGTGTGTATGTGCGCGCGTGCACACACACACACACACACACACACACACACACACACACACACACAATTAAATTTAAAAAAGAGAAGCCAGAATGTATATACTTTATAAACATTCATACATACATACATCATGTACTTATCATTCCAATACTCAAGAGCAGAAACAGGGGGATCACTACAAGTTCCAAACAAGCCTGATCTACTTAGCTCTTTCCAGGCCAGTTAGGGCTACATAGTAAGACCCTTAAACTTCCTCCAAAATTTAAAATATAAATAAATAAATAAATAAATAAATAAAAATTAGGGACTACAGAGATGGCTCGGTAATTAAGAGTACTTGCTGCTTTTACAGAGACTTGGCTCATCCCAGCAGCCCTATGGTGGCTCCCAACTCCTGTAACTCCAGTTCCAGTGCTCTCTTCTGACCTTTATAAGCACTGCATATGCATGGTACACTTGAATACATGTGGGTGAAAGGCATATATATACACATAATAAAACTTGCAAAAATCTGTCTCTGTTGGGTTTTGAGACAGAGTTTCACTATGTATGTAGCCTTGGCTGGCCTTGAACTCAGAAATTCACCTTCCTCTGTCTCCCAAGTGTTGAGATTAAAGGTGTATGTCACCATATTCTGTCCCAAAGTAAACAAATAAAATTAAAATCTTGGGTTGGTTAGATCATCTGCCAGTAAACACACTTGCTATTCAAGCTTGATGACTTGAGTTCAATTCCCCCAAACCCATGTAAAAGTGGGAGGGAGAACCAACTAACTACTCACTCAAAGTTGCTCTCAGAGTCCCCCACAAACACCATGGCACACACAATAAATTAAAACAAAGCTACAACAACAAAAAAACCCTTTTAGTACTGGGGTGGTGGTGGCACATGCCTTTAACCCCAGTACTTGAGAGGCAGAGACAGGTGGATCTCTGTGAGTTCTAGGCCAGCTTCATCTACAGACAGAATTCCAGGAAAGCCAGAGCTGTTACACAGAGAAACCCTGTCTCCAAAAACCAAAAACCTGAAAAAAACAAAACAACCGTTTTAGCATGGGGCAAAAAAACACCATAAGCAACTTTTTAAAAAGAGAGAACAAATAAATAGTTGGAGGACAGTCTACCAAGGTCCAAGACCAGAGCCATGAGAAGCCATTGAAGAGACCGCTTCTAATTTTTAAGAAACACAACTGAGGACTACGGCGAGAACTGAGATGTTCACTGGCAGAGTGCTTACCTAATGTTATTAAGGTTCAATCTCCAGCACTGGAAGAAAAAAGGATGAGAACTTTTACCCAGATGGTTCAAAGATGGAAGTACCTATCACCAAGGCATTTTCGGGAAAAGCTTGATGGCTTGATAATGCAGGTGTGGGACAGCAGCATTCCAGCAAGCTGGAAAACCCCAGGAGGACATATGTCATTGTTTAGGCAAAGGTAGCTCACCCAAAAGGCTTGTGCTAAAGGCTGAGTTCCCAAAAGAGCAGCAGTCAGAGATGAAGCTTTTGAGGAAGTGACTGGATCATAAAGGCTCTGACTTATCAATGAGTTAATCACTTGATAGATGATAATATGATGATATTATTGAGAGGTGGTAGAAAGTAAAAGGTAGAGTCTAAAGGAAGTAGATCAATGGGAGTGTGCTCTAGAAGGAAATACTTTGTCCCTGGCTCTTCCTTTTATTTTCTGTGTCCTAGCTGTCAAGAGATAGCATCTTTGCCCTGCATCTCCATTCACAACAATGTTCTACCTCACTATGGCCTAGAAACAATGTATCCAACTACCATGCTCTGAAACCACTTAGCCAACAGGTGTCTGGCATCACAGCTGCTTGTGCAGCTGTAGGCTTTTTTCTCCCATTTTAGATAGTGTTCTATCTAGTCTACAAAACGTACACAATTATTACACAAGCAACGGGCAATTTTCTAGACAAATCTGTAGTTCATCAGAGGTCAACGCTTGACCTAGACTAGCAGATCTCTCAGTAAAAAAAGAAGGTCCCTTGAGCTGGACAGCTGCTCTTCCAGTGGACCTGGGCTCAATCCCACAGCTGTCTGTAACTCAATTTTCATGGGATTCAACACCCTTTTCTGGCATCGCACTCAAAAAACACCAAGTGGTATACAGACACACATGAAGGCTAAACGCCCATACAAACCCAAATTAATTAAGAGGGTCCCTAGGAGATAAGGAAAACAAAGGTAGTGTGAGACATAGATGATCCCTGGGAACAGAGGCCTAAGGCCAGGGAACCAATATTTGGAAGCATCAGAAAGCCAGACCCTGGAGAGGCTGTCTATAGTAGTTATAACATGGGCTGCTCGATGCAGAGAAGAGGGTACCTGGAACCCACAACTATGCCTTTCATGCTAGGGCACATTTGCCAACTGTGAGTCCTCATAATCAGAGCCCCACACAGTCTCCAGTCTGACCAGTACCCTCAATGGATTTATGAACCAGGAGCTCCACCTTAGCATCTCAGCAGCTCAGGAAACAGTCCCTGAGCAGCAGGCACATCTGTCCTAAGGTTTAACCTGATCTCTCCTGTGGAATGAATACCTGATGATAAGTCAGCTCACTACTTCTCAGTCGCCAAGATTTATTTTACCTTGAACCAGGTCTGAAAAGGAAGTTAAATAGAAATACAAACTTGGAATTCTTTGTTTGTTTTTGTTTTTCAAAACAGGGCTTCTTATGTAGATCTGGTTGTCCTGGAACTCACTCTGTAGACCAGGTTAACCTCAAAAATCACAGAGATCCACCTGTCTCTGCCTCCCCAGTGCTGGGATTAAAAGAATGCATCACCATTAAGAATGGCTCTGAACCAGGCATGATGGTACACACCAGTAGTGTCAGCACTCAGGAGGCAGAGGCAGGCCTGATCTACATGGAAAGTTCTAGGCCAGCCAGGACTATTTAAAGCTTCCTAATGCTGAGACCTTTCAATACAGTTCCTCATGTTGTGATGACCCACAACCATAAAATTATTTTCATTGCTATTTCATTACTGTAATTTTGCTACATTTATGAACTGTAATATCTGATATACAGGATATCTGAAAATGCAACACCTGTAAAAGAGTCAATCAACCCCCAAAGGGAGAGCCACTGATTTGGAGAGACCCGTTCTCAAAAACAACAGCAAAGAATGACTCTGATATGAATAGTAATGTTACATGGGAACACCAGGACTCCAAAAAGCCTGCAGGAACTTGGAAAGGAAACTATCTCCTCAGTCAGAACTCTGGACAAAGCAGAGGACAATAACAGAACCAGAATGTACACCCTGTCTAAAACAAATTCTTCCAAGGAAGGAAGTCAGGAGTTGGGAAAAGAGAACTGAAACCCCTAGCTATGCCAATTATAGAGACCGCAGCTCCTGACTTGGGAGTCAGTAGAAAACCCACACAAGGACATTTGCAAGCCAAATGCCAGCATTAGATGGAGATGGCTAAGGAAACCAAAGTGAAGACTGAGGAGGGAAGTACCACCATGGATATAAAGTACAGACCAGACCCTCTGTAATACAACCTGTAAGACTCTCTCTCTCCAACTCTCAGCAGAGATGCTAACAAATTGGCATTTCTGTTCATATGTCACATTAAAAATGTATACTTTCCTAATCATGTGAACTTCTGGCTTTCTCCTGAGAGCTGCTCTCATCTCTGCAGTAGACTTCGTCTCTGTGGCAGACTTTGCCACAGCATAGTAGTAAGCAGGAATAATTCTGTCAGGATTTCTAAATAAAGAATATTCCCCAGATCTCCCCCAAATCAGGAAGGAAACCAGTTCCCACAAAGAAATTAACTAGCCTCTACTTCATTTATTATTATTATTATTATTAGGCACACATTAAGAGTTAAGTCTCAAGGCTGGAGAGATGGCTCAGTGGTTAAAAATACTGACTGTTCTTCCAGAGGACCCCGGTTTAACTCCTGGCACTCATATGGCTCACAACTGTCTGTAATTCCATTTCCAAGGGACCTGACACCTATGGCAAAACACCAATGCACATAACTGCAGTTTCTCCATACATAGTATAGAGCCCTCAGCAAAGGCTATGACAAAAGGAGACAGTGCAAGTACTAGGCCTCATGACATAAGAAAGAAACCTGTGTCTTGGCAAAAGTGGAAAACCTGATTATTGTGTGAATCTCTAGAGGAATAGCTCAGATTAAAATATAGAACTTACAGAGAGTCCAGGGATGGAACTATTTCCTACCTCCAACTGCCAAAGCTTTAGGGCAAACCAAAACCATGTGTGCCTGTGCGAGTACCTGGCCAAAGGCTCCAACAACCTTCAGGACCTACGCAGAAAAGCAGACAGACGCCCACCGAAAAGAATTCACCACATGGCCTTGCAACAGGCCTACTCCTCTGGCTCTTTGTTGTATGCTACTGTGTTTGTGTTCTGACAAATAAAGCTTGCTTGGAGATCAGAGGTCAGAGCTGGCCACTAGTTCACCACAGTGGCCAGGCAGTGGTGGCTTACACCCTCAATCCCAGCACTCAAGAGGCAGAGACAAGGTCGCAGCCCTTTTTGGTGGAGGAACAAGACAGGTAAGAAACAACTGGCAGCTGCTCCAGTTTTTTACTCAGCAAAAGAAACTAACATACTAGCAAACAGGGCAAACAAAGAACTGACCAATTATACTCTTGCTACTTCTCATTACTGTTAAACAGTTACTGTTAAGCTCTTGGTATATGCAGACTCTTGGTATCCCAGGAAAACTGCTCAGAGTTGATACAACAAAGCTGACCTCCAGAAATCACCTTTCTAATAAAAGTAGCAAATGTGGACATCCAGATGCTAGCCAACTATGCTGGCCAACATCCTCATATCTAGGATAGCTCCGGAAATTGAACTCTCTTATAAGATGGCAAGATACCCACAAGGGACAGCTCTAAGCCCACAACTATGTGAAAACACCCAAGAAGACAGACAGTAATACCCAACTGTGCATGGTGATGTCTATTTTACGTTATTCTCTTTTCATTCCAGGCCTGGGCTACACAGTGAATTCCAGGGTAGAATACAGAATGAGACCCTGTCAAAAGAAAGAGATGGGGGGGGGGTGGCATCAAAGGGTCTTTGATGTGGCACCAAAACTGTATAGTAGTGGCCTACCACAATGATGGGCTGTTGGAAAGACGATCATGAGTATAACCCTCCTCACTTCTAAAATCCTGGATGATACCAGAGCTATGCAGTATGGCAGCTGAACTCTTAACAGTGACCCTAGGGCAGAACACAGAAGCTACATGGCCTTTTCTAACCCAATGTTACTTCTGCCCACTATTTACTACAGGTTATCACAAACCTAACAGAAAGGCAGGTACGGCTTTTGGATAAGGGTACACAAAGGTCAATGGGAAGTGTCAGAAAATATAGTGTTCCTATACATCTAACCCATGTATCAAGCAAGACACAGATAAAAATCAAAGGAGACTCAGTGGGCTGGGTATAGTAGCAGTTTAATTCCAGCACATGGGAGGCAGAGGCAAGCAGATCTCTATGAGTTTGAGGCCAACCTGGTTTACACAATGAGCTCTAGGACAGCCAGGGCTATATAGAGAACCTGTCTCAAACATAAAATTAAAAAAAAAAAAAGCCAGGCAGTAGTGGCGCACACCTTTAATCCCAGCACTCGGGAGGCAGAGGCAGGTGGATCTCTGTGAGTTCTAGGACAGCCAGGACTACAAAAAGAAATCATACCTCAAAAAAACCAAACCAAATTAAAAAAATTAAAAAAAAAAAAAGAAAGAAAGAAAGAAAGAAAGAAAGAAAAGAAAAGAAAGGAAGAGAAAGAGAAAGGAGACTAAGTGGAAATGCCATTAGGAGGTGCAATGGTGCAACTTCATAGATAAGGTCTTGTACTATGTCCACAAAGAAGGAATCATATGTAATTCAACACCCAACCACCTAAAGCAATCAATCCCTGCACAGCTAGACACACCAGCTTCCATTTTCTCCCTAAGGAGGAAGGCATGGTCAGACCTCCCAAACAGAGCCCAGCTCCTTATTCTGCAGCTGAGAGCAAGACATGCATATGAGAAGACACTTAGAGAGGACTGGTCTACAACCTTCTTAAAAATGCACTCTCAACACCTTGTTAGTGAGCCAAAAGCTCACAAAGGCTCCGAGAAAAGCCAAGCTCAGTATGACAACACTACACACAAGATGCAGCAAAGACAAACCAAAAGCTCAGAGACCAAGTCTCTCAGGGGAGAAAAAAGAAGAAGTGCCACAGCCCCAGCACGCTGCCCTCCTCCTAACCCTTCTGAGGCAGGAGCTGTCCTCCTCACAATTCTGTGTATAAGAGATAAAAGGAAGATAAGAGTTTGATTAAATGTGACTTTTTGGCCAACTAATTCTCAATTCTGAGCTCTAGAACAAGAGATGATAAAGAAAATATTCAGTTCCCACTGTTCCATTTATCAAAGGAGATATCACCAAGAGATTTAGAGCCACACTGCAATGAAGAGCTGAAAGAGCACCCTAGCATGTCTGTTGATCCTTTCTTGGTGCACTTTGTACTTCACCTTTGCCTAAAACACGCTGGGTCCAGTCTTAGAATCTTGTCTGTACAGAAATCTTGAGGCTCACCCCTTCACTGGGCATGCCAAGCTGTGCCATCCATTATAAGCTGGCAAGACCAAGGCTTAGTTCTTACCCATGAGGGGCCAGATTTGTCGTTACAAGCACTGTCTTCACTTCCTCCACACCGCTGCCATCAACCGCAGTGTCTGGAGTTGTCACAACCACCACCTCTTCCATGTGGACGCTTACATCTGGGGTTGCCATGGCTTAGTGAAAGATGCCTGAGATCAGCAGTGTCACTCCTCCAGGGTCTCAGATCCTAGAGCAAACAAAGCAGGGTACAGGTTATAGGGTAGTTTCCATACTGGCACAACAAAATAGTCAACAGCTGAGGTGTAGCTTAATGGTAGAACACTGCTGAGTATGTGCAAGGCCCTGGATTACATTTCCAGCACTGGAAAAATAGTTTGCTAACACAGCACATAGCCGTCGACCATCTTCGATATCCTCAAAGACCCTCCCAAGGCCCCACCTACTACTCTCTGACAAGAAATGGCAGCAGGCCAGACAGTGGTGGCACAGGCCTTTAATCCCAGCACTCAGGAGGCAGGCAGATCTCTGTGACTTCAAGACCAGCCTGGTCTACACAGCTGGTTCCAGGACAGCCAGTGCAACACAGAGAAATCCTGTCTCTGGCCAAAAAAATTAAAAAAATCATGTGTGAAGAAATGGCAGCAATACAGGAGCCCTCCGGGGCTCTGGATTGGTAGGTGCCATGGATACACCCATCTTTCCCCCTGAGTAGATGGGTCACACTCCTCCACTTAACCCTTGTGGACCTTGAAGCTCAGAGGCAGCAAGGAGGGCAGGCTTCCCAATTATTAGCTTTCCCGCTGCATCTCCTGGCTGAACTCAAAAGTGGTCTGAGCCCAAGTGTAGACAGGAAGCACCTGACCTTAGGGAAAGTGTAGTGAAATCCACATGAAACAGATAGGGGGAAATGTCCTGTTTTTACTATTATTATTGCTATGATTAATTATTATTGTCATTATTATTCGTTTCTGTCTTTGCTGGCCCAACTCAAGCTCTAACCCTATGATGTCAGTAGTAGCTTCAAAAGTACCAAATTCACAGAAGGAATGTCTTCCTCACTAGAGGACTGTGTGTCTCAAGAGCCTGAAGATTGTACTCCCTCATACCTCAAAGCCCTATCCCAGGCCCATGATAGACCCAGTCATGAAATGCCTGGGCAAGCACAGCATGGGTTTCTAGCCAGAGGACAAAAAAAAAAAAAAAAAAAAAAAAAAAAAGAGGCCCTAGAGTTGGAGTGGGACATTGTATACAGGAGGGCATGCAGACAGGCCCATACATAGCCACACAAGAACGTGTGGACCATCCTGAGACGTTGTTTGTATGAACCTAACTCTACATGGCAAAACTAATGGCTTTGAGTATTGACCTACAGGGCAGACTGCTGTAATCGTTAATGTTAATTTTCAACTTGATAGACTCTATAATCACCTTCGAGATGAGCCTCTGCCCATGCCTAATGGGGGATTATCTTGATTATCTTAATTGATATTAGAAGACCCATCTTAATTATAGATGGGGCTTTTCCCTGGGTAGGGAAGTAGAGAAAGGAAGCTAAGAAGCACACATGCATTCATTGCTTTTTTTCCTTGTGACTACCACTTGAAGCTCCTGCTGTGTGAAGTGAAATAAACCCTTTCTCCCTTAAATTGCACTTTTGTCAGGGTATTTTATAACAGTAACAACAACAAAATCTAAGACAGTCCCACTTAGGCTTCAGACTGGGTCACTGACAGTTTTCCCAGAGGCTCTGAAAATGGACATGAGCACAGCATGGCGGACTAAAGTGCTCCTTGGCTGGGTGTGGTCACACATACCTGTAAGACCAGTCTTCAGGAAGCTAAGCAAAAAAGGATCCCAAGATAGAGGTCAGTGTGGATTACAGAGTGAGATCCTATCTCACTCAGGGCTGACCAGATGGCTAGGGGAGTAAAAGCACCTTTGCTGACATTGACAACCACCAGACTAGGAGGATGCAGGGAAGAAGTAGGGAGGTGTCAGAAGACTAGCAAGCAGACAAGAGAAAAGCAAGATGGGTATGCCATACTGAGAAAAGGTACCAAGCCATGTGGCAAAGCATAGATAAGAAATATGGATTAATTTAATGTAAGAGTTAGCTAGTAATAAGCCTGAGCTATATTGGCTCAGCATTTATAATTAATATTTTGTCTGTGTGTCAGTTATTTGGGAACTGGCAGGCAGGAAAGAAAAGTCTGCTTACACTGGATAGCAAACCCAGGCCCTTCTTCATACCCACTTTCTACTTTTTAAAATAGAGTGTTTATTTTTATTTTAGGTTTGTGACTATGTATGTATGTATGTATGTATGTATGTATGTATGTATGTATGTATGTATGTATATGCTTCATTTGGGTGCCTGGTGCTCACAGAGGCCAGAAGAGGCCATCAGATCTTCAGGAACTGGAGTTACAAATGGTTATAAACTACAATGTGGTTGCTGGGAGACAAACTTAGGTCTTTGAAAAAGCAGCAAGTGCCCTTAACCACTGAATCATCTCTCCAGCTCCTTGTTTTTACTTTTTGAGACAAGGTCTCACCAAATTTTCCAGGCTTGGTGTTACCAGAGACTACAAAAAAATATTTTTAATGTGCTAAAGAATATATCTGATCTTTGTGAGTTTGAGGCCAGACTAGTGAATTCCAGAGCAGCCAAGGCTACACCAAGAAACCCTGTCTTAAAAAATTAAAAAAGAAAAAAAAAAAAGAAAAGAAAGAAAAAAAAATGGCCAACTGTGGTGATGAATCATTTATGATTTATTAAAGCTTGCTTGAAGATTCAGAAAGCAAAGCCAACCACAAGCCATAGAAGCCAGGCACACACCTTTAATCCCAGCAACCAGAAGCTAGAATGTGGAGTCGGGATTAAGAGGTAGATGGATCAGTCTACAAGAGAATTATAGCTCACACCTTTAATCTCAGCACTAGAGGGGTATAGAAGACAGGAGCAAGGAGTCAGTATCAGGCATTCATTCTTCAGCTACACTGAAGACAGGAACATTTATTCTCCAGCCACGCTGAGGACAGACAACAGGATCAGCCCATTCAGCCTGAGGTTCTGGTAAGAGCTAGTGGCTCAATACTTTGCTTTTCTATTCTTCAGCTTTAAGTTTGAACCCCAATATCAGTCACTGGGTCTTTTATTTGTGTTATAGCCAACCAGACTTAGCGGTATACACCGTAATCCCAACATTCTGAACACTAAGGCAAGGGAATCACCATGAGTTTTAGGTCAGCCTGAGCTAAAAAATAAGATCCTGTCTCAAAAAGAAAAATAGAAAAAATGAAGGAAAGACTGATGGATGGGCAAGCTACCCACCCAAGTATGTATAACAGGGCCATCCAGGGACTGAGCAGGTAAAGGCACCTGCCACCAAATCTGATGACCTGAGATGGATACCTATGACCTACGTAGTAGAAGGAAAGAACTGACTTCCTCAAGTTGTCCTCTGACTTCAACACAGGCAACACACACACTTTTGAAAAATTAGCAAACAAATAAATATGCATAACAAGGGCCAGAGATTAGTGAAGTACTTGCCTAGAATGCACAAGGTCCTGGTTTTTGGTCCCAGCACCTTATAAATCAGGTATAGTAGCACATGCCTGTAATCATGGCATTCAGGAGGTAGAGAGAGACAGAAAGAGCAATAGTTTAAGGAAATCCTTGGCTACATAGGGCATTCAAGGTCAGCCTACATTACACAAGACCCTGTCTCAATTCACACTCCCCCTCTCAGGTACAGACCAGACAGGTGGTCTGGACTAAACACACGATGCCCCTCAATATGGACTACGGCAGATGTGAGTTACATTTCAGGGAAAACAAAACCAAATTACACTTGTATTATAGCTGAAAGCAAAACCTGGAACACTGATATGCAAATAGATATAGGAGAACTAATACCAAAAGGGTGGAGAACAGCTGTGTGGTGGGTATTTGCCATGACCTTGGGCTATCTGGTCTGATGGAGGTGGTGCTTCTCGCCTGCCTACATGACCTCTTAAAAAGGAAGGAGGGAGGGGGTAGACCAGATCAGACATCATGAAGCAGAGTGTGATCAGTCCCTAACTTTTTAAGACCTCTGCAACTGGATTTACCATATCCTATATTTGTGAGTGTATTTTCCCTTTTTTATATCTTAATAAATCCTTGATACTCCTTAAACAGATGCACGTGGATTTCTCACTAAAACTGGCACACAATGTGAGACCAATCCCCAGCCCAAGTGTCCTCCCAGCCTCTGTGACTATTGGTGCACGCCCCACACCCCACATTTGGATCCCTGAGACAGGATCCCTGCCCCACTGCTTCCTCCCCTACACCTCAGTTCAACTCATCCAGCCTGCTGCTCAGCCAAATGTCCTGACTCCCTGCCTCATTAATCGGCTAAGACTCACCCTATAGGCTTGGCACTCGGTACATTGACCTAGCTTCTTATTTAGATGAAAAGGGGACTGGGCTTATTCCACCCTGATGCCAGCCTGTGGTGTGAGGCTAGTAGCTGTCCCCCTCCCCCCACGAACCCTGTTGAATCCCAGCAATCAGGAGGCAGAGGCACATGGATAAGTTCATGGCCAGACTGGTCTACAAAGTGAGTCCTAGAACAAGGAGAGCTAGGGCTATTATACAGAGAAACCCTGTCCTGAAAAAAACCTATTAAAAAAAAAAAAAAGGAAAAAAAAAAGGAGTGAGGAAGGGCTCTGTACAAGTAGCCTTTTTGCTATTCCTTGTAATGGGACCTCATTCTTTTAGGAAGGGCTAGGGCTAAAAGACATAAAACAAACAAAACCATGTATTACTCAGTAGAAGCCACACCCTGTAGGATCTTCCTTTTTGACACTAGGGAGAAGGTAAACTATGAAAACAATAGTTTCGGGAGGGGGGAGATCAACAGTGGAGTACAGACTCTCTTGGGTATTGAAGTTATTCTCCACAATTCTAAAAGGGTCTTCAGAGTTAGGATCAGGTTCCACAGGAAACCAACTATAAACTGTGGGCTCTGAATGGTATGTCAGTATAGGCTTATCAGCTACAGCAGAGAGTCTGTGGCGTTTCCCAGGGAGAGAGAAGCTGGGAAAGGAGAGAAACATATGGGAATTGTTACTGTGATAAACTTCTTGTTGCTAAGATACAGTCCATAGGAGTAAAGGAGTAAAGAAGTCAAAGCCACAGGAGCATGAGGCAGCTGATCACACTGCATGAGTCAAGTAGAGAAAA